GATTACTCGATTGGCACTTACAGTTTCGCAGGTCAAGCACTTGATCTCGTTCGTCATCGTGCCTTCGAAAAGCGAATGGACAAATGTCTTCCCCTTCGATGTCTTTTTCTTAAAACCTCCGTCCAGAGCGAATTTGCCCGCTACACGATAGAGCGTTAAAGGTAAGTTGGCTAGACGAATGGTGTCCCGGTCACATAGTCTTAAACGATACTTACCTAACTCGGGATCCTTTATCATCCGTGACTCCAGCTGCTCCACATCGGCGGAAACTTGATTGAGACACCACATCAAGAACTCGTGTGCATCCTGGTGCTGAGCACCCCTGAACATCTCATTCTCTCGTTTGGTAGTTTTCACCAATTCTTCAGGTCTAGCTACTCCTTTCCCCAATGTTCCGGCACCGTGAGGACCACCACCACGCACGGTTTGCTGATTCGGCTTGTGCGGGTTAATCAACGTGGATCCACCGGAGGTGCCTGTTCCGGGCGGAGGAGCGGTCTCGGCTTTTGGAGGCGGCGGGGGATGTGAATCGGATGTGGATATATACTGGAACAGAGATTGGACGGTCGATAAAAACGACGGCACCGGAGCGTTTGGATCGGTAGATACAGCCAATGGTTGGGCGGTTGGCTCGGTTTTTGGTTGAAGGGTTTTATGGGAACCTTTGGCCGCAATCGGACTCGTAGGCGGCGAACCAAAGAAAGAAGTGCGTTCGTTCAACGTTCCCATGTTCGTTTGTAATTTTGGCATGGAACCGGGTCCCGGAGTACCTGGAGGAGCACTGGTACTCATCGACCGTGTACGCATTGCCATGCTCCATCTGTTTTTGTTGCTCGGAGTCGACTGCGAGCCATTGTCCTTCAAGTCGGAATCCTTTGCGGGGCCAGGTGTTCCGGAACCAGCCTGTTCTGAGGCATTCTCGGCTTCCGCTAGCTCCTGAGCATGCTTGCGGTTGAGCTCAATCAATTCAGTAGGCGAAGGTCCGATTGGAATCGTTGGTAAGGTAACGTTGGGGTAAGCCTCTAGGAATTGACGGAAAGGTTCGCAATGGTAGAGAACTTGAAGGACCGAATTGGCGTAACACGTATTGCCAAACTGATGGTAAAGAACGGATAGGAACGGATTAGGATACGTGCGCAACCGCTAGCCATCAATACGACGACAATTACAACGCATGTAAGTATGCACGCAGACTCACGTTCTCGAATCCAAAATATTTCTCCTCGCCCCTACCATCCAACAGCTCCTCTTCATCGTCGTCCTCTTCTTCTTTGTTTGGCGAAACATCTGGGACGCCTTGCTTCTGAGCCGATGTACCTGGCTTGATATGTGGTGTGATGGCTGATTGCGGACCCGGGGAAGTTCCTGAGACCGGCGTAGGGTTGGATGAGCCCGAAGACTTGAAGCCCCATATCCGACGCGACGACATGAGACGAAGTGAGTGCTGCGAATGATGTTGGGTGTCACAGAACACGGGGTGCTCTGCAATGCAGTGCTTAGGGATATGATCCAACAAGGAGATCCAGCTTGGATGCAGATGACGGTCGAGAGAGTCTAGGAAATCGCAGTTGGGTCGATTGGGCCGGGGTCGCCGGAAAAAGGCCGCGCTGCTTCTTCTGCTCCGGTTGCACGCACGCGTTGCCTCCGCCTTGCGTTCGTATGGTCCTCTTTGGTTTGTAAATAAGGCCGCCCAGTACTCGCAGCTGCTCGTTGTATTCGTTAACACTGAGGGTTACTCAGATCTGTACAATACAGGAGGTTTCGATAGCGTCGGGATCTGCAAATTAGGCCTTGAGCTAGGTCCTGTCGCTTGAACGCGGTCCGAAACTACGTCACGACGCTAGTGCTTTCCCCACAAATCAACTCCGAGGATCAAGCGGTGCAGGCGCTGAGCTGCGGCACGCTTTCGGCACACGTCCAGAACAAATCCGAGGTATTAGGGAATACGGAAACATGCTGCATGTGACCTGATAAACTAAGGGTGACATGGCATCTATGAAGACTTGTTTGCCATGACAGTCTTTAACTCTGAGCATTGACAAATACCACGCCCTATAACATTCATTCGACACCGCGAAACCTGCCACACCGTGGTAATGCCCTTCTTTGATGGTGTACCGTGCATTTGGCCCATTGCATCCCACATTTCAACTACTGTTGTGCGGATCTCGTCAATGCCTCTGCCTGCAGCCTTTCTTCCTCCGTAGGCGGATGATCGAACACGACAGGTCCAGCAGGGGGACCTTGAGTTGTCGGCACAATCGGTACTTCCTCTATTGATATGCTTTGGAAAGCATATTCATAGATAAAAGTGCTCGTCGACCGAGTATCGTTTACCGGACTGGACTCGGCGTGTTTTCCTTCAGGACGAGCAGTGCCATCCATTGACAAATCTCGCATTGACGAATGCAACTGGTAGTGGTCGACCACTCGCTCATCCGACGCCGGTACTGCGCTGCTCGCTGCCACCTCGAAAGCTGTACCATTGACAGTCTCCTGAGAATCGGACCTTTGATCTGCGTCAATAGTCGTCGTCGACCTTTGATCGAGTGTAGAATCTGCCGACGTCGAGTCGGCGCCATCTTCGAATGCAGCTCTGGCTCCATTCCCCAGGGGAGGAATACACGGATTGCCGTGCTTGTCCAATCGACCACCATCAGGAGCCTAAAACGTCATTGAGGTCAGAAAGGGCCAAAGGGGAAGTCGAATGGAAAAAGCATACCAGATGGCAGTACCTGCAAAGAACATAGGTCTATCAGAACTTTTCAAAAATGCCGCAGCTGGATGGACAACTTACTCGACTAGAGTTTTCCAATATATATCGTGATCGAACACAAAGTTGTTCTCCCCTCCAAACTATGCAAAGTAGATTATTCAGATGCCATTAAAGCGCAACAAGCTCACTGCGAGAGCTCACCTCGGCGTCAAGTTGGGAAACCGGGACCAATTCTGGCAATTTCGGATTGAATCTCATCTGCATGTTAGGTCAATAACATGAGCAATCATGTATATATCTCCGGGTAACAGAAACGTACTGACCTTATCCTTGGTTACTGGATCGAGGAAAGGTGTGATGGCTGTAAAGAATGCATTCACCCACCACCTATGTAGGGGATGCATTGTCCGTTCACCTTGCTATATGTAGCCCGTGTACGAAAAAAATCACATACGGCATATTAACGACGATAGCACGACCCATTCGTTCAACATAATGGTTCTGCAAGATGTTCAGAACCTGTCTGGCAGTCGTTATCGATGGATTGCTTTGCGAAGTCGCTGAGGCATAATCGACGATGATGACCACGGTTTCGACGTTGGGAGGCATAAAGTCAATGGCGCGTTCACTGAGGAAGAGCAGGCGAATCAACATTGCTGATCTTTGCGCTGCTCCCCATGCTACCGCTTACAGATGGAATATCAAATGTCGGATCTGACGAGGTGACGTCTTCTGATTTTCTCGTCCCGGACGCATGTACAGTATAGGCCTGCCATCCACATCGAAACCATTGAGGATGCTGAGAGAAAGCAAGTATCGAGATCAGCTTTCATTCCATAACCTACGATGTACTGATTAAACGCAAACAAACGGCAGACTCACATTTTGCCTGTTTCTGCTTCAGGACTGACATCCGATTCGTGAATCAGCTCCGGCTTGTAATCTCTTCTCCATTCCAGGGTACCCTTTATCCTCTCCTTTGCGTTATCTAGCTTCCATTTCGACGCTCGCATGTACCGGGGGGCGCAACCAGGGTCCGACAAGAACCGCTTTTCCCACGGATGATAAGGATCGGATTCAGGCAAAAGGAGCGAGAACGCATACTATGCAACACATGCACGATGAGTTGAGGGTGCAGAACCATTGCGCCAACGAAACACACACACCTTCCGAAGCTCTTCAATCTGTAACAGACAGGGTAGCAGAGAATCAGAAACGTCTGTAAGATAATAGCCCGATCGCACGGCTTACCTGAGCCTGCTGTTCAGAAGTATAGGTAGGTCGGGTTTTCGGCACACATCCAGGAGGAGGCGAGGTAAAGATCTCGCTGTTCGGGGGCTGGGGCTTGAGAGAGACGGAAGAGGACCGCCTTGAGGACGAGGCGGAACGGGACTTGAAGAATGCCATGGTTTTGGCTGTGGTGATTATGGGCAGGGGGTTGACTGCGCGGGCAGTACGAGGACGAACGACCAGTTACTTATCAGAAGGCCAGAATATGATATCGTGGCTAGCCAAGAGGGACTGCTAACACCCACCATATCCACTGCTCCACTTGAGTCCCGAGAAAACGGGTACCGATGACCACCTGTGTTCCGCATGAATCATCGGCCCATGACTCATCACCAGGTGGAGGCCGAGCCCGAGGAAGTTAGCTTCTTAGGACGGAGCTCGTAGGACGAAGTCCGTGTTGGTGTTTGTGGAAACTTCCTGTAGGCGGCTCAGCCTATGGCTATCTGCACCTGTGCTCCTAAATAAGGCTCAGGCTTATAGAAGGGTCTTTAGGCCCGATACACCTGTTTAGTCAAGCATCATGAAGTCCTAAGCTGAACCCTATCGCTGCTACTGTTGACTGCTTCTTTGATGTACTGGGTGAAGGGGTGAAGATATGCCCCAATCGAACTGTAAACCTGAGGCTAAAAGCCCACGAGGCGGCCGCCGAGAATGCATGACAGAATATGATGACCGATGTCCGGGCTCAGCGAAATCAGCTTACCAGCTGGCTTACCCCGCTGCCAAGTGTGAAGAGCCAGCACGTGTATACAAACCAATATAGCAAACTGGCTTCACAGGAATGAAAGAAAGGGAAAACAATCATCACTATCTCTGTATACCGGAACTAACGAGGAGTCCTGCCTTCTTTGAAGGAGATGGATGGAAAGAGTATTGTACTGTATTGTGGACCTGGATTCCGATTGAGCGTTGAGCAATATGAACATTGGATACCGAATCAAACCTGACGATAAACCCTAACCCTAATTCGACAGAAAAACAACAAAAAAACGAAAACCCACTGCGAGGATCGAACTCGCGGCCTCGACATCGCAATTCATCAATCAAGAATGATAGAAGTGTCACGCGCTACCACTGCGCTAAGCGGGCTATTTGCGAAACCCTGTGTGTTACTCTTTTTATAACCGGAGAAAACAAGCTCGCCTTTCTGTCTGTTCGAAGTTATGGGTTTCCCTCGTGTATTCATCGGGACCCCGTAAGCTACTCAAGAATTGATAGAATCAAATAGCCTTGATAGACAGGGGAGTGGGCGAGGTCAGTCCTAGCAGTGCTGTTTTACGCATTATCGCTTCTTGTCTTTTGAGTGTTTTGCTGGCTGTTGCGGTCCGCTTGCGCGTAGGAGTCAAGCGATGGAAATTCTAGCTCAGGGGACTTTGTTCTGTCCGAGGGTCCATTGCGACTCCCCCAGGACCCTCCGTTCACTGGGCGGGCAAAATTGGCCTGATGCGACGTTACGACGTCACGGCCGTCGACATTCGACAACGATGATAACTAGGAGTGCTACTAGGATGATCGGCAAGGAGCGTGTCCAACTCTGGTCCGACAATAGCTGCTTCTGGGCGCGTCCTCGGTGGAAAAGGCTTTGGCTCATCTCGTTCTCCTTTGCCTGTATCCTATAACATTGTCAACAAAGATACCGGACAGAGGCCTTGAAGGTGTATCAAAAACTGCTTGCTTCCTGATACCAAGCAATTAATCAAGAGCAGATACTCTGTACACCGAATAGTCGTCATCACCATGTCTGCTCTTCCACCCGGCGTCCTTCCGCAGCCATCTTCTGTGCAGCACTTGCAACAACAGCAGATGAGTCAGGCTTCACCACAAGTTTTGGCAGGAAAACGGAAGCTGGACTCGGAGCAGGTGGAAGTCAAGTAAGTGATTTGGAAACATGCTGTCAGCGGCGTGTGCTCATCTGATCCTTCTACCTCCGTTCCATCAGGAAACAACGGCCACCAATGCCACCTCCGCATCTTCTCGCTTCACTGGTACCTGAGTCGGCAATGTTCGAAGATTTGTTGAAGATGGAGCAAAAGCTCGACTGGACTATACTGCGGAAAAAGGCAGAGGTGAATGATGCCATTGGAAAACCAATACGGGTGAGTGAAAGAGCGAGTTGACTTTGAGCGATGCAATGTTTGTCTTACCGTCGGCGCAAATAGATAAAGCGAACGTTACGGGTATACCTGTCCAACACAGCGTACAATCAGGAATGGCAGAAGGAAGAGGATATTACGGCTGGGAAAGAACCGATGAGCGTGAATGTCGAGACAGGTGATGGGATTCCTGGCTGGGACCTGAAAATCGAGGGAAGGTTGCTAGATGTGAGCAATTGTGTCGCTTCTACCTTTCGATTCCCTTGGGTCACTGACCGCAACCCACAACCAGACGGGGAACTTGCGAATAGACAAAACGGCGAAGAGAAAGTTCTCGCAGTGCATCAAACATATGGTCGTGGAGTTTGGAAATCGCGATCTAGCTACCTATCCAGAGGGCAACATTGTGGAGGTAAGCCGCTTGGCTGTTAAGCGCTGATCTCCCCTTGAAACTGACTGATACCTCCGCATCTCTCCTAGTGGCATCCTCGCACCACGCCATCAACAGCGCCTGTTGACGGATTCGAAATCAAGCGCAGGGGAGATCAACCCGTCGATTGTCGTATCATCATACATTTGGACCAATATCCTGAAAAGTTCAAGGTTCTGCCGCCATTGTGCGATCTGATTGGTATCAAAGAGGAGTCGAGGTCCGCTGTGTTGAGCGCGATGTGGAAATATATCAAAACTGTCGGTGCACAAGACAAGGACGACGTGACGAAGCTGCTGCCCGTGGGTGGGCTGCAGAAGGTACGTCTCCTGTCTGGCTCTCATATACTACATTTGCTGACTGATCCTTATACCCTTCTGTGTTGTTCTTATCTTTAGCTTATGGATCCAAAGGACAAGGATTTGCCGTTCCATATGCTACCAGAAGTAGTTAATCGATATTTAACGGCACCTGCACCAGTGGTTCTTAATTACACAATCAAGTACGTTGGACACGATCTAATATTCTGGCTTTTGCTCACTTTCACTGCTACCACTGCTACCATGTCCGACTACAGCGTGGATCAAGAAAGGAACGTCCATCCGAAAGTGTTTGATATTCCTATCGAGATTGAGGATCCCCTCAAGACCAAGGCGCATGCCATTCTTTCGAGTCTTGAGGGTCCTCCGATGAGAGATATCATCGCTGCCGAAGATGAGGTGGGTCCTTCGCATGAAACGGTGCATGCTTCATCTCACAGCTTCGGGTACTACAGGTCGCAACTTTGGCCTACCTGATTAGAACAAGCAGAGAAAAGAGAGATTTCTTACTTGCATTCTCGTAAGCAACGACTCGGGCGTTTTGATCACCGCACACAAACCCTTACAACTATCACCTGTCTCCCAACTCCACAGGAAAGATCCCGCAAACTTCATCAATCGCTGGCTGGCTAGTCAAGCTCGAGACCTTGATCTCATCCTGGGTCGGCAAGTTGGCGTGTCTGGAGAAAATGGGGGAAATATACGGGAAGAGGATTTACGACGAACGGATCTCTTCAAAATGCCCTGGGTAAGACCTGTGCCTTGTTCCTTGTCAACTCCTTGTTCTTACCTACATGTCTAATCGACGCTTCCAAAGGTTGAGGAAGCTGTGACCATACATGAGGGCCGAAGGCAGGCGGAATATGCGGAAAAGGTTAAGCAGATTCAAGCAGAACAGCAGGCGTTGGCTGCACGATCCGGACAACAGGGACGGGTTGCCAGATGAGCCAGGTGACTGCCTGTGCTACGGTCATTCGGACAAATACGTATAGTTGTACTTTAGGGCATTGGCATCTATAATGCCATCAGATATGCGCAGTCTATGAATTGCCGCGGGATGTGCGTTCGGGTTTTGCTAACTGTTTGGCTGTGACGAAGGCATGCGTAAGATCCGCGAGCTCGTCGTTCGAATTTTCGACACAAAGGTACGCCAAGACAAGGTAAGCGATAGGAGCCCCGGGCATTTCGACTCCGGGCGGTGCTACAACGGGAAGATTAGGTATCATTCCCCCTTATTGCATACTAGGGTATCTATAGCGATTTATCCAGTCAAATCCTTTCGCGCTCGTATGATATACGACGATGATGTGCCCAATCGCAATGGCGAATTCGGACTTGTCCGTAGGAACCGAGGCGTTTGCAAGTGAGACATTGCGATATCACGACAGAGCACGAATATCATCTGAACTAAACAATCCATCATCCCACCTGCCCAAGTTTCTTGCACAGAATTCACAGCTGTAAAGCTTATATTCTTCACTCTTTCCTCGCTACGGCTTACTGATATTGGTTATTGAAACATAAGTGCAACCGCTCCTGGAGCTGATTGGAGGATAGTAGCTGAAACTCCGGCAAACTGTTTCGCAAATGTCGTCCAACCTACGTTGGCACAGGCAGCTGAAGAGTTCCGCTGATCGGTACTCTTATTAGACAGACTGGTAATTATCCGATCTCATCGATATATAACGCATCGATCATAAGCATTTACTGGGGAATACGGGAAGTGTTTACTCATACCAAGCACACTTCTCACGTACAGTCTATCTATTCTCGACGTCTACAATGCCCATCGCTCTCCCCAAAGAACTCACAGCCGGACAAACAGAACCGGTACCCGAACTGCTTCAGCCATACGAGAACTTTCCGAAAAAGATCACCGGACCTACCGTATGGCAGGCGGAGGATTTCAGATCCAGGCCGGACCTGTGGCAGCGTCAGTGGACTCCCGAATTGATCCAGCAGTTAGAAGAGGCGTTTGACAAGTTCGAAGCGAGTGGCAAGACCCTGCCTGAGATTAACAAGGTAAGCCGTTGTCTAATATCAAGGTCGAGTCTGGCGTCTCATTCCCTACTTCTTTTTCATGCCTGAAGAGCACATTCCCCCTTCCGACCGAGGTTGTCGAGTTCTTGTCGTCCATTCGACAGGAAGTCGTTAACGGGCAGGGTTTTATTCTCATCGAAGGCCTGCCCGTCGCCGACTGGCCGGTTTTCAAGTCTGCTGCCATCTACCTGGCAATCGGCACCATCTTTGGTAACACTCTTTCGCAGAACGGAAAAGGCCATGTGTTGGGTCATGTAAAGGTGGGAATTTCTTGTCTTTATATAGGAATGGTATCGATAGCTGATGAGGACCGGTCCGTTCCACCTTCTAGGATCTAGGAAACGATCCCACCCAGATTCATAAAGTCCGAATTTACTCGTATGTACCCAGTTCATTACGAGAACCGTCGCGCTTTAGGTACTGATTGATGACTGTGAGCTAGAACCTCTGCTCGACAATACTTCCACTGCGACGCCGCCGACATAGTCGGGCTCCTCTGCTTGCACAAAGCTTTGGAGGGGGGCGAAAGCGACGTGGTTTCTTCGCACAATCTCTGGAACACGTTGCAAGCTGAGCGCCCGGATGTCGCAGAGTTGTTGGCAAAGCCGAACTGGTACTTTGATCGTAAGGGCGAAGTCTCCGAGGGTCAGAAACCTTGGGTCCAAAGAGCAGTGAGTAAACGGTGAAGATAGTGACGAGGAATATATAGTAAAGATGTTCCGTATTCGACAGGTATTCTACTACCACGATGGACGGTCAGTCTAGGTACACACTTCAGACCAGCCTCGGGAATACTGAACGTTTTGCTTGTTCATCTTTGTAGAGTGATATCCCATTTCGACCCGTACTTTGTCAAGTCCAGTAGGTTTCTCTTTTTCTCGAGATGTCGCTGTCAATCGCTGACTGTCGAATCACACGTTGTCCCGATCCATAGTTGGCCGACATGTCGAGGCTGGTCTGATTCCCGGACATTCCAAGGAACAGCTGGAGGCCATTGAAGTACTCGAGCAAACTGCACAAAGATTGTCGCTACACATGGTGCTGAAGGTCGGAGATATCCAATTCGTAGCAGACAGTGGGTCATCATGTGTGCTGAATTCGCTGTCCCCAATCCGCAACACTGACACTCGTCCCAACTTTCGCAGCTCATGTCCTGCATGCGCGAACCGCGTACCGAGACCATCTTCCCCCTGCGCCACGACGACA